TATTTAATAATATTAAAAACCCTACTGTTATTTTGATAAGAAGAAAATGTTACTAAGTATAAAAAATTTAATTTTAATTTAAAAAGTTTGTAAATAAAGAAAGATAAAAAATAAACAGAAATTTTCAACAATTGTTCTTGTTTCGATTATCTCTTCGAGATCCCAATCAGGGCCATGTAAGTGAAATATTCAAAATGGTTCCAGCAAGTTTCCCAATTATGACGGGTGATGGCGCTGATCGTCAAGATTTTTGGACAGTGATTTTGCTTACCGACAATACGACGTGAGCTACGACCGGACCAGGACCAATCAGAATAATCAGTCTTTCTTGGACATTTGCCGCGGAAGTGTGTGTTAATTTCTGTTGTGATAAGTGTGGTTGTGTTTGCAATTTGATTTTTCGGTTTTGATATTATGTTAAAATTAATTTGAAGTATTGTATCATCTGTTTTTATGTAATAGTATTTTTTTAGTTCTATGATCTGATATGTTATGATTTGTTAAAGTTTGTTTAACAATGTCATACCAAAGAAGTTATACTTAATATATCAATTTGCATAGCCTAACTTTTTTATCAATAAACTTTGTAGATTTTCAGATTATTTAATTCCTTTTGTTTCCGATTATAATTTTATTTTTAAGACATAATATGTGATTGTTTCAGATAATATGTTTTAAAAATAAAATTGCAAATAGCGAATAAAAATAATTAAAATAAAAAAGTGTATTTTACAATTCCCCCGGCCCAAACTTGGGCTTCTTTTTCGTTAGTATATTCTGTGATCCCAATAGCCACGTACAATAGATCTATAAGGTCGCGGTGATTAACTCCCCTCCACTAAACATTCTACCTCCTACATTCTACATAGCCCCGTATTACAGAGTGACGTTTGGGTCACCCTGTACCAGGAATTCTTAAGATTAAATATTTTTTTGTTAAGTATTTTGTAGGAAAAAATTATTTCTTACCTATAATTTAATTATTTTATATGATTATTTTAATAAACAATGAGGTTCTGATGTTCATTCGAATATTATAAAATAGCTATTATTATCCAACTAAGTAAAGCGATAAATATTCACAAAAGAAGTAAAAAATCAACAATAAAGAAGTGTTAACAATTAAAACAAGACTCATAGCTAATGCTAATTGCGTTTTCCATTAATTATAAACTATTTTGCATCCGCAAATAGGGTGATATCATTAAATCTGTACGTTCTAAACAGCAAAAAATTCAATAGATCTTTAAATATTTATTCGACAATAGTTGAATTACCGAGAATAAGTATGTATATTAAAATGTAAAAAATGTGACCCTGAAAATAGATGATGATGCTTAAACAGCCTTTATAAAACCACGTATTTTCGATGTAATATATATTTATATTTAATATAGATTTATTAAATTTAATTGAGTAGACTTAGTTAATGCATTTTGTCTCCATTTTTTAAGATTTTCAACCAATCGTGGCATTGCAAACTACATACACAGAGTGACAATATGATGCCAGAAACGACGTGTTAAATACATTTTATCCCATTCGAATTAAACGACGAAAATACCTTATACTTTCTATGTGCTGTATGTCCATTGGCGGTAGACAAACAAACAGAACTATGCCCTTGTATGCTGTAGACATACTGTTGTTTGTCATTGCCAGATAGAGAGTTTTTTTTGTGCTGCCATTTTTCTATTTTTTGAATAATACTACTTAAAATAATGAATCGAACTACGACTGGGGACGATGTAGTGGGGAATACGGATCGTGGTAGCAGAAAAATAACGAGGAATTTCACGTCTAAAGAAAACTAAAGATAGTCAACACTTTTAGCAATTCAGTTTTTTCAGATATCATCAAAACCAGATTTTTCACATGTAGGTGTACTACATGTGAAAAATTTTATGAGTTATTCTCCATTTTTCAAGTAAACTCATTTTTCGGTAAGTTTCTTGCAAAAAGCGTGGCAGTTTTTCTTTTTTTTTGCCAAAATTCGAAAAAAATGGATAAAATGCATCTAGAAAGTGTGCTCCTCAATTATGCTATACCCTTTTCTGTCAAGAGTTTAGTTACTAATATTAAGATTTTGATATAATTTAGTGACTTTGTAATTGAGGACCCTAGAGCCCAGGGGTATAAGTAATAAATTTTAAGAATTCGAGTTATGTGCAGAAATATATACATAAAGGAGAAAATCTCAGGTTATATCGGTCTGTTTTCATTAAATGACTCTCATTTATTCATTAAAGCCTCTATATTTCATTAGTGGTTACTAACATCATCAGGAGGTACTAAGTTACAAGAATCATTTTTCTTTACAACAAAGCAATCCAGCGAAATATAGAGGCTTTAAAGAATAAATGAGTGTCATTGAATGAAAACAGACCGATATAACCTGAGATTTTATTCTTTATACTAAAGGTACGGTCGAGAAACAATCCTTAAAAAGAAATATATACAGGGATATAAACAAGTTTGTAATTTATACTGATATACAGGGTGTTTCAAAAAACATGTGCCATCTCTCGTGGAGAGATTCCTTATGTTAAAATTAGATTTATTTTTCATATCAACACAGGTCCGATTCTGCTTTGTTTCGTAGCTACAGGGTGTTGAAATTTTAATATGTTCTCGATTTATTATAATTTTCGTCCAAGTACTTTTAGCGTTTCGAATGAAATTTTGAGGGTAAAAGTTATTATAAATGCGACATATTTTAAAGCTTAAAAAGTATCGACATATTCACTACCTAAGTAGCATTTGGACGTTATCTAACGTCGGGTATACGTCGCGTTCAATAAACCCGACATCGGGTACCAACGTCGGTTCGACCGCCTGACGACCCTTATTTGCACCTAAATGGGGAATACAGATTCGGGTCGCCTCAACGTCGGTATCTGACCTAATAGGGAATGTAATTCTACCAATTACCAACGTCATATTACGTTGGATTTTAGTTACTTATAATTCGTCGCTAAGCACTTACGTTACGTTTGGTTTCATATTCGCTACCAAGAATACATAAAAATCTAACCAAACTACCTAATTACAAATGGATTCATAATCACTTCTCGAATATAACTATAAGTGCCTATCTAATTTCATATTATAATAATTCTGAATCATTAATCCAGACATCAGTTTTGTCAACGGAAGTCACTTTTTTGATATATATGATTAAAATACTCCGGAAAACAACGAGCGTCTTCAAAATTAGGTGGATTTATGAAATAAAAATATCTATAAAAAAGTTACTCGCAAAATATTTTTTTAATTTTCTAGCTGGTTTAATCATAAAACTGTACTGTGGTTCCCCCCAAACTCAACCTTATCAATATTATTCTACTAGAAATCGAATGTGAATATAAATTTTAAAAACAAAAAACGATTTTAAAATGGCTGACAATCGGATACGTGTTAAGAATGGCCGATTTCTGTGTCCGACTTAATATGAACTACCAATATACCAATTCCGACCGGGTCTCCAACATTAGTCGTCTCACACGACCGAAGTCATCAAACCGGACGACCGGCAATCGTATTATGACGTATATAATTCCAACGTACGCCACGTAACCTCTTAGCGTATCAGTGATTTGTGGATTTGTACAACTATATTTTAGTTTTTGTCTTCTCCTTAAAAAAATGGGCAGCCACTTTTTTAAGCCTAACCTCACATGTGGGAGGAGGATGGGGTCTGCTGGTTTCCTAAGCTTAAAAATGAAATTAAGATGCACCAGTGTAATACAGCATCTCTTCCGGATAAAAATCATTTATGGGTGGAGGCAAGACATCACTACTACTATTATTATTTTGCAAAAGCCTCGACCTCTTTCTGTAAAATGTAGATGAATGTCTAAATGCCTTTTTAGTGTTTTTTTAGGCATAAGTTTGTTTACAAAAAGTTTTTATTAGGTTATGTTCATGATGTTCATTAGGTCGCAAATGCTACTTAATTGGTTGTATTTACGGACGTAAATAGAGATACGTAAATTAGGTTATAAATATGAACATAAAATACAACAAAATATAATTGGACGTTACTTTAGGGATTATCAGTGAGACGTATCCGATTCGGACAACGGGTAGACGTCGGGCTAGTTCAAGTATATGTACGTCGTGCAATCCAACGTGGGAACGACGTTGGGATATTAATAAAAATGGTACGTTGTTATTTTGTACGTCGACAGATTGTTGGATTTACCGACTCAGATCCAACGACGTCGCTTTTAATAGGAAAGCGACGTCACAGGTCGTATCACCAGCACCCGACCTAAATTTGCACAAAGTCTGACGTCGCTTCAGGTCAGATTTAGTTCGAAGTCAGATAGATGCTATTTGGGTAGGGACGTGCATATGGGTTATCACTTGAACATTTTTCTAAACAAAGCATGTACGCCACGGACTTTTTTTCTGGCAAAAACCAGTATCCGGGACGGTTTCACAGAGGCTAGTTGAGGAGGGCTTCATCAGGGACGCGCCAAGTATTTTCGGCGCCGTCGTGCCAAATAAGGGTAGGCGCCTTTCTCCAATACAGTGCCACCTTGATAATCCGAATCATCATTAAACCGGATTATTCAATAATTCGGAGAGACATTTCAGTTGCATTGTGTACTTTATAATCCGGATTTTATGACACTCGGTAATCCGGACCTGCGTTTTAGGCGACTGTTTCATTCAAATTACATATTATACATTATGTAAATCTAAATCGGTGCTGGGGGATTCCCCGAACTTCCTAAATTCGGACGGGTTTAACTTCTAGGCTTCACATAAATAGTATGCGTCCTTGATTTGCTTGCAATGCATCGCGTCCGAAGAGTAATTACAATAAATTGTTTGTTGTTTGGTATATAAGGTTATCAACACTTTTTTACGTGGCTACAAACATATTAAAATGACATCTAAACGAAAGCATATTACACTAACAATTAAACAGAAGTCCGATGTATTAGAAAGACTAGCTCGTGGTCAAAGTGGAAAAGTGTTGGCAAATGAATATGGAGTAGGGACGTCAACAATTTCTGATATAAAAAAACAAACAGAAATTTAAAAGGTATGATTCATTTTACAAATCATTTCAGACATGTATTGTGTAACTAACTTCTAGATTTATCGCCAAATGTGATTTTGGTCCTGGCGCTAGAAAGACCCTACGAAAAGCCAAATATCCAGAAATGGAAACTTGTTTGTATGCTTGGTTTTGTACGCAACGATCAAGGGACGTCCCAATTTCCTATGAAATTTTATCTGCCAAAGCAAGACAGCTTTACACTGAAACCTATGGGAACGACAATTTTAGAGCTAGTAGAGGCTGGATATTTAACTTCAGAAAAAGACATGGTCTGCGTGCTTTAAAAGTATGCGGCGAAAAACTGTCAAATGATCAAAGTACCGTCGATCCTTTCCTTACTGCATTCGCAGAGAAGATAAAAGAATTAAACCTCGGACCTACTCAAATATACAACGCAGATGAATCTGCGCTGTATTGGAAGATGTTGCCTGAGAAAACGCTGGTTCGTTCTCAGGAGAAAACCGCACCGGGTCGAAAAATAAGCAAAGAACGTGTTACTTTTCTGGTATGTTGTAACGCTGATGGTTCACAAAAATTGAAGCTGTTAGTGGTGGGCAAGGCAAAAAATCCAAGGGCTTTTAAAAACGTAAATCTTCCTGTAGAATATAAATCATCTGCCAATGCATGGATGACTACAGCAATTTTTTTAGACTGGTTTCATTTCTCCTTTATTCGTCAAGTCAGAAGTCATCTGAGAAGCCTTAATTTGCCTGAACGTGCTCTACTGATCGTCGATAACGCCTCTAACCATGGGTCTACAGAAGAGCTGACTAGTGAGGATGGACAATTTACAACACTATTTCTTTCACCGAATTGTACAGCACTTTTGCAGCCTATGGACCAAAATGCAATAAGACTGACAAAATTATTTTATCGGAAACGTCTTTTAGCCCATATATTATCTAGTAACGAAGAAAACGTTGTTAAATTGCTGAAAACCATCAAAGGACGCTGTTTGCCTACTATACAATGCTTGGGAAAAAGTTTCTCCCGAAGTCTTGAAAAAGTGCTGGCATAAACATTTGGCAAAACTTGGACATTGAATATGACGCTGAAGATCTGATTCCTTTGAGTCAATTGCGACTCAATCTAATCTCATTGAATGAAGAAGTGAAAGGTAAGGAAAATACAATTGTTTAGACTTCAATACTTTTTATTGTTAATTTATATTCTTACAGATGTTTCGAATATGCTGAATGTTCTCTCTGAACAAAATCTCACGGATGTGGAAATATCCAATTGGATTGAAAATGATGAGGATTTGTTACCACTGGAAGACGTAGACTCGGACGTAGGTGGTATAGATGAACAACGCGAAAGTGATAATGAAGGTTCCGAGATGAATAATACAAACCAGACTGTTAAGGTTATTACGAATGATGAAGCAGTTAAGAGTTTTAATGTATGCATTAAGTGGGGCTGAAGAAAATGATATTCCTTTGACTGCAGTTCTTGTGCTCCAAAGATTAAAGGAAGCGGCCTTTATAATGAATCAAAAAAAGAACAAGCAACAAAAAATTACAAATTATTTTACAAAATAAGTTAGTTTAATAAAAAAAAATGTTTTTGAATGTTTTCATGTATGTTCTATTTTTTAATCATTTTTTAATAAATATGTCAATTTCCAATACAAAACTTGTCTCGCTTCAGTAATCCGAATTATTTATTAATCCGGATCACCGCGGTTTTAATTAGTCCGGATTATCGAAGTCGCACTTTATTATAATATTAAGCCAAAATTTCCAATGACCAGCGGCGCGGCCTGGTGACATTGACATTGGTGGATAATATATTTTCACCACTGGCGTTCATAGATAAAAGTATTACTTAAATTTTATGTTAATTTGTTGATAAGTTCCAAAAAATGGTTTTATTATTTTTTAAAGTCAGTGACCGCAGGCGCGTTTAGGGCTTTGGCGCCGTCGTGCGCCGCACGACCTTGCCCATATGAACGGCGCGTCCCTGGGCTTCATAGAGGTATACCAAAATTTATGGCACGAATGGTTGTCATCTCGGCGCACTCAGTGATGAGGCGTTCTGGTGTTACCCCATTTTCCCCACAGAATGTGCATTCGCTGCTGTTTCTTAGCTTCAATACACTGAGGTGTTCGTTAAGGAGACAGTGTCCTGTTAAAAACCACGTGACAATTCAAAAATTGTTCTTATTTAAACTACAGCGAGGTGTTTCTCAAAGTTGTACATTCTTAGTATGTCATCCACTGGGAGTTAGAGAAGTGGAATTTCCTTATGAGGGTGTTCCAAGCCCCTAAGCTGACACTTCTCCCAGTACTATTTACATCAATGGCTATTCTAATCATTGACACGTTGGTATATCTACTGACGACAACGTGCGGTGGTGTTAGGTCTAGAATGGACCTCTATTGTTGGCTGTTTGGCATGGTCTCATGGCAGCTGTGATGCAGATGCATGCCAGTCTCTGTAGTTTGGACAGGTGTTGCCTTGCTGTACGTTGCTCTAGTTTTATATACCAAGGAACTACTCCTTATATAATGATGGGTCTTACTATCATGGTATATATCCTGCGCAAAATGTTAGTGGCGCTATTTCCCACCAGTCTTCTACATATTATGCGAGCCTTTGTGGCTTTGTTCTTAATAAATAATAATAAATCTTAATAAGCCTCTTCCATAGGAGTTTTTTGTTCAGTGTTATTCCCAGTTATTTGACTTCCTGTGATGGCAGTACTTCTTTTCCATCTAGATGGATTCTTTTCAAGTTTTCAAACTTCGCTTTCTGGTGGATGCAACTACCGCCGTTTTTTCCAAAGTTGGTTATTAGCCCGACAGTTCTGTACCATCTTTTAGTGATACGAAGTCTTCTTTCGATAATATCTTCGTGTTTTTCCCGAGCGATCATGACTATGTAGTTTCATCCACTAGTAGTATACTCTAGTATTTCATCCACTACCAAACACTACAGTAGGGGGAGGTTACTCCACCTTGTTGAGTTCCTTGCGTTGGTTTGGAACTACAGTTTTGGTACCCATCTGAGCCTCTGCTGACCATGTTGAGAGCATTTCCCAAAACCAGCAAATTATCTCTAGAGATCGCTTAAGCACTTTGCGAGGTATGTTGTCAAACGCCCTCGCAATGTCCAAGAAGGCACAAATTGCTGTTTCTTAACAAGCTATCCAAGCTTGCCTATTTTAGTTCGGTAAATTGGTACAAAGCACATTCTCTGGATGCACAAGGCATAAGCATATTTGTATTTTGTGCGCTACCCTTTGGCTCCTCAAGTCATATGCAATGTAATATCTATATGTAAAACATTAGGAGAATAAGAAAAAATATTATGTTGGGAATATAATTTTATTTATAACATATTACTATATCGGTACTATACATTAGATCAGCTCGTCACTTTTTATAATACCAATTAATCAAAGGTTCATTCAAGGTTATGATTTAAACTTTAACATAAATAAGAGTAATCTAAAAATATATATAAAAATAAAATATATGCAAATTGTAATAGAAGGTTATACCTATCGATGAAAGTAAATAAAAGTTTCGTGTTAGACTGACAGATTTAATCATTAATTTATTTAAAATAAATCATTAATCAATCTATGACAAATGCGTTGACGTGAACAATTTGTGTTGGGATTGAACTTGTTTAAATATAACTTATGTGTATACAGAGAGATTTGTGTATTAGCAATAAAAAAACTTTTATTTTTACATTATGTTTTTATATTTTTATGAAAAGCATAAAATAGACTTTTGAAAATAAAATTATTCCACAATTTCTTTCTCAGTTTAATAATGTTTTTGTTATGAGTCCAATGGTATCAATGAATGCCAATTTTATATTCTAATTACTTATTAAAAATGTTATTAGACTTTAAAGATTTAATGATTTTAGATACCAACTACTTGAACCTACTAGTTTCATACTATCAAAAGCAGTTGATTCCCTCCATGAAGACAAAATACTACAGTGTTAAAGTCCAGATTTGTTAGCCAACTCTATCTTTTTTAAACTACAAAGGAAATGTTAATAACAGCAGGATAAAGTACGGATTACAACACGTCTTTGGACAAGACATATGGCTGTCAAGCGCTACCTGAACAAGCTCAATCTGCATCAAGGAAGACTATGCTGCAAACTCTACCTTAAAGATCTTGAAACAACAGAGCACATAATGATATGTCACTGCGAGGCCCTGGGTCGCAATTGACACTTTCTATTTGGGTACAGCAAGGCTAGAACTTGGATCTGCACAAGCTGATACAGGGCACAGGATTAGGAGACTGGCTGCGGTAATTGAAAAGGGACAAACACACTAGAGCTTACAGGTCACAGTGTTTCTGGCATAGGATAATATTGAGGAAAAAATAATAATTGAGTCTGGTTTTATTCATCTAAATCTTTTGTGATGCTTGTTTTTAGGGTTTCGTACCCAAAGGGTAAAAACGGGAACCCTATTACTAAGACTTCGCTGTCCGTCCGTCCGTCTGTCACAAAGGTCTATCTTATGAACCGTTATAGCTAGACAGTTGAAATTTTTACAGATAATGTATCTATGTTGCCGCTATAAGAACAAATACTAAAAATAAAATTAAATAAATAAATATTTATAAATGAAAAAGTACCTTCAACAAACATTATCTTTTAAGTAAGAATTTTACATAGAATCTTTCAAGTGCTCGGTGGCCGCGTGGTTAAAGAGTTAGGACTTTACGCTGCTATGACGTTGGAGCCGTAGTAAGGCAGGTTCGAATCCTAGTCAAGGCGACTTTTTTAATCGTTTTTTTTAATTTTTACATATTTTATATTTATTTGCTGCATACATATTTATTATTGATTAATACAATTTTAGTAATGTGTTTCTTTTTTTTTTTTTAAATTACTTATACGCCCATTCAAAATTTCAGCTAAATCGGAAAAAAAGTTTATAATAATATGGTGTCTAATGTAGTATAGATAATGAATAGTACCCTTTGTGCGCGAGTCCGACTTGCACGTGACCAATTTTTTTAAGCATATATCGTCCCATAGAACTCTGCGATATCTAGAGTTTTCATAATATGATCTTTTATTTCAATGTCGACGTTTTATAATTTTTAAAAGTTTTCTTATTATAAAATATTCTTCTTTAATATAAGATGAGAAATAACTTCCGCACTGTATTTACTATGTCCCTATAACAAGTATTTGAGAGAGATCCATTCATCCAATCGAAAAAAACAGACCAGTATCCCTAAAAAGAATAATTAAAATAGCATGACACAAACATCTGTGAAAAATACATAAAATTAGTTTTCCCTCCAAAACCATTCACAAAACCAAGTTGTTTTATCTCCGAAAAAATCTCCGACATCCGTCTCTTTGTGCGCCAAGTAGCCAAAAGCACTTTACCGATCTTAATTGTACACAATGTGCTACTAACGAATCAATAGATACCCGATAGTTATCTACGTTGACCGGTCGATAAGCTACCGTTAATAAACAAAACAGTCTAGATGCATTATGGGTAAAGAATAGACGACGTGATTATAATAAATGTTGTTGGAAACTTATTGTTGCCATTGCTTTGTTGTACTAGACGAGTGTATGATTGGTGTAGTGTGTATTCTGCTCGAGAGGCGAGTAACTGAAGTAGTAATTTAACATTTTATCGAATTAGGCTCGATTTAGAAAATTATCGGTTAGCATGATTTTCACTTTTGTGAACTAGCAGTGACGCGTAAGATATATCTACAAGTGATATAGAATAAGCAAATAAATAATTTAAATTATCTTTGATAAATTATGTATAATATTTAACTTTTTTAACTTAGTAAATAGTCCAGACTGGGACAATATTTTAACCGTTATACCAACAGCAGAGAATTTAAAATATTTTGGGGAGTTAATCATCCCGATCTTACAGATCTATTGTATGTTCCCCATTATCATACAGTCCCAGTACCTGAGGCGGCTCCACAGAGGCTAGCTCCCCATCTCCGACATCAGCCGTACCAAAGTTTATGGCACGAATGTTTGTCGTTTCGGCGCCCTCAATGATGAAATGAGTTGTTTCTCAGCTTGAATCCACTGAGGTGTTCGTTGAGGAGACAAGACCTGACGAGACGAGAGCGGGACGAGAGTGAGGCCAGAGCGAGACGAGAGCGAGACGAAAGCGAGACATCTTCTATCCATTTTTTGGGGTAAGCCTGCCACGAGACAAGCGCGTTGGATCACAGTGAAAGGAACCCAAGCACATATTAACCCTCCGGAGGTTTCGTGCGGACTCACAGTCCGCAGGTACCTATTTTTCCGATAATTCGAAAATCTGGAAACATGAGATGCTGCGCCACCTAGTATCTTTCTGTCTCTAGTATCTTCAGGTAGATGAGGCAGTTCCGCATCAGTAGTTTGGAAACCGATATAATAGTTGCGATCTGAGAGATTTCGGTTTTTGACAAAATCGACAGGGAGGTCCCGAGGAATGTTTTCGAAAAATTTTGGAAAATCGATTTTGCTTATTTTGTAATATGTTGTAGTGCCGAATGTGTACTTTACAAAAACGGTATAGTTTTTGAGATTCACACCTTTTGTTCCAGAGATATTTGGTATTAAATGTTTCGAAAAAGAGAAAAAAATATTTCTTTTGTAGATTTTCTCAAATAACTCGAAATCTGTTAGAGATATCGGAAAACGGTTTTCAGCATTCAATTCTACATAAAATTAACTATCAGTGGGTATATTTTAGTTGGGATCTGAGAGATTTCGGTTTTTGACAAAATCGACAGGGTACCGAGGAATGTTTTCGAAAAATTTTGGAAAATCGATTTTGCTTATTTCGTAAAAATATGTTGTAGCGCTGAATGTGTACTTAACAAAAACGGTATCGGTTTTGGGATTCACACCTTTTGTTCCAGAGATATTTGGTATTAAATGTTTCGAAAAATAGAAAAAAATATTTCTTTTGAAGATTTTCTCAAATAACTCGAAATCTGTTAGAGATATCGGAAACATTTTTCTCTTTGCATCTATAACTTTATTTTTTATTCATCATTCTACAATAAAGATTGTCTGTGATATTCAGATAACGGGTTTTTCATTAACCTTTCGGAGGTCGCGCGCGGACGGATAGTCTGTAAGTACCTATTTTTCCCGATATTTCGAAAATATGAAAACATCAGATGCTGCTCCGCTTAGTATCCTCCTGTCTCCGCATATTTTATGAGAAATGTACGTTTGCACATCGTTTAATTTAGTTAGTACTTTTTTATACTCATATGCGGAGTGTCAGTCCGCGCGCGACCGTTTGTGATACTATTTTACATCAATAATTTTATAATGTCGAACAAGGTAAGTTATTTTACTGATTTGTTTTAATTGAAAATGAGCAAAATGTAATAAAAAAAGTTAATAATAAACTTTTTTTATTAAATAAGTATTATTTTTTAGATGTACCTACTCTGCAAGAAAGATTGCAACAGCTCATGCAAGTCTGTTTCAAATCAAATCAAATCTTTTTTGTTTGAACGAAGATGACGAATTAACTACTGAACATGACGATGAAAAGGAAGAACGAGGAGTGGATATTATAGAAAGGCATGTGCCCAAAATAAATTCTGATACTGAAAAATAAATTTCAGATTCTGAAGCACTGAAAACAGTATTACCAGAGGATCGGCACTACAGAATTATGATAGGAAAACACAGACCAACTCGTTACTCTTTGTACAGTGTCACAATTTCGTATGTTTTGAGTAAACACAAATATTCTGTAATCACTCTTATACGGATTGATTTTTCCATTATTATTAATTATTTTTGTTTTTGAATAACATTTATTAATTTGTTTTTTTGCTTGTTTTATGTTATATATTTTATGTTTATGTTTGCTATTTATAACGAAGCAAGTAAATAAATAATTGTTATTTTTATTACCATATTATTTCATGTCTTTACACCACTAGAAACGCATAAGACCTCTTGAATTTAGCATGCGGACTCAGAATCCGAGCGCGACCTTTCATGTAACAAATAAAGCAGCACCTCCGAAAGGTTAAATTGTAATTGAATATAACAAACGATGATCATAATAATAACGCATACAGTAATATCTTTAATTTTTAACATGGTATTTTGTTCGTCGTATTTTATTCATCGTCGGTTTTTTTCTTTTTGGTTGTTTTTGCCCTTAACTGGTCATTTGTTTCTAGACAATTTTTTTGTCTTTTACAAAATACGTTTTTAACGTTTTTAGAACAAAATGTTAAATAGAAAAGTTATAGGGAAGGCTAAGAAGCACATTTTAAAGTTACATTTTTTAATGAGAATACCCTATTTTATTATAACTATTTGCAATTCGGTAACTTTTTTGCATATGATAAAAATTAAAGGATTTTGTAATAATTCAAAATTCAGAGCTAATATCTCGCAGTCGAGCGAGCCTACCAAAAACATGTCTAGACTGTGTCGCGAGCTTTCTTTGATCGGCCGTCGCAAAACCGACAGAGGACGGATAGCAACGAGACTCCGTGGGTTTTTTCGCGAGACCCGTCCACGCTCTCGTCTCGTTAGGTCTGGACGCACCTTTAGAAACCCCGTGACAATCCAAAGATTGTTCTTATTTAAATCAAGGAAAATCTTTGATTTTTCTCGGTCGTAAGTTCTGAAATTTTTTTTCGAGTGTCTTAGACCGTTGGAACATTCCCATTCCAGGTTACGAATGGAGTCTTCCAAGTTCTTGAGTTTCGCTTTAAGTTGGTTTCCACTTGGAAATCAGAACGCTTCTGGATCAGTTAGTGGAGTGTTCGCTCCTTTTCTAGCTAGATCGCTTGGTGTTTCATTGCTTTCTATTTCTTGGTGAGCGGGCATTCAGAGCAAGAGGACTTTATTTTCTTTGCCTAATTTGTTCGGCTTTTCTAAGCATTCTTTGATCAACTTCGAATTGATGGTTACTGACTTGATCGCTTTTAGAGCTGCTTGACTATATATAAGATGGTTATTTCCTGTTTTCGATAGTTTCTATCTAAGATAAATTGTACGCATATGTCGATACATTTCGTAGGTTACTGCCTGAAGGATACTGGGGTAGGTGCCCATTGATCCCAATTGGGTGCTCATTGGTTCCAACAAAATATTGACCTATATTATATAAAATTAAAATATAAAAATAATTTCCAAACTTAGATGGCAACTTTTTCATATAATAGTCGTATAACCTTATTATATCTAACCTATTATAATACCAAAGAATATATTAAAGGACAAAATGTCTTGAAAACGTCTGGTAAACCATAAAAGTGATTCATTTATTTATCATAGATCTTTTTTTGTAAACCTTAAGAAAGGAGATTCGTCGAAATGATCAAATAAGAAACAAAAAAATCAACAAGTCATCAATCACTAACGATGATCGAACGAAATTCATTAATTTCATTTACAAGAGAACTGTCTTTTTGCAAGTCATTATTTTTAAAACTGGTTCAGTTCTGTTTGTTTTTTGCATTTTACATTTATGTTTTTTTATGTTTTTTCCATATCAAATACTGATACGAAACTGTAGAATGATGATCATAGATGTGTGATAATATACCTAATTTTTGGAAGAATAGATTACGGCATTCAGCTTTTACAATTACAAAAACGTATTTAAAAAAATGTTAATTTAATTCCGTAAAATGAGTTTTCTTATATTCACATATTAATTCATTTTAAAGCTCTCTGTTTCAAAGAAAAATTCTAAGACTTCTAAATTTTTACTCTCATAACCATTCATTCACATGTCATTGTCTTTATCAATACAGAACAGTAACTCGTTAGTCAACGTATCAAAATCACATTTCAGGTTGAAACAAAAATAATAACAACCAATAATTGGAGCTAAAAACAATTTTTAGCCCAATCCACAAAACACAGTACGGGTACTTGAGACTTTTGGGCATTGAGTTCCGATTGAGTGAGAAATTTTCTTTCTCTGCAAGTTTATAAAAAATGTGATCGAGTTCACTCTTACTCTTTATCTGGTTATTTGCTATGAACTAATCTTGGGGAAACAAACTGAAGTATAACTGCGTATCGTCAGCATAATACTGAGCAGCATCCACTAAACTAGTTCTGCATCAAGATAACAAAATATACACTCACCGACACGAAAAACGGACACTTTAAAATATTGATGTATTTTAAAGTTTAATATATTTTGTATGTCCTCGGATTGTCTTTACTTACTTATTTCTTTTTTTTAACAGGAAAAACTTTTTATTGATATTTTGAAAAAAATGCATTCTTCAGAAATATTTCTTCTTCTTTCTATTCTTCTCCCAAAATGGTTGATCAAGTTATAGTAAATTTTTCCAAATTTCTATACCGTTTTAGAGAAAATTAAAAAAAGACATGCAAATTTAGTTAAGTTTATACAAAGTCCTGAAAATCAGAACGCTAATTTTTTAGGGTAATATACTTTCGTTTTCATTCTTTGATAGATAGTTATTGATAAACTCTGAGTTAACATCATATTGTTTGATGTTTTAAAATGTTAAAGAAGCACAAAATTTATTTAGTTCATTACTACGGAAAGGGTGATAATAGTTATCCGAAAATGTGATACGTTAACAAAAGCAAAATATATGCCATTAATCAAAATTAATAATATCAATCTATCAAAAAATGAAATCGAAATTATCTTACCATAGAAGCGCCTTTTGATTTTTAGAACTTTCTACCATATTTTCTAAATTCTACCATATTTTCATATTTATTTTTAATTTTCTCAAAAACGGTATGGAAATTTGAAGAAGTATAAACGGGATTCTTTATTATATTTATTTCAGAACAAGCAAACATTTTAATGAAGAAAGCATTTTTTTCAAAATGTCAACAATATAAAAGTTTTTCCTCTTGTAAAGACAATCCGGGGACAGTTGAAAAAGTTGAAAATCCTGACAAGCTTTTTTAGATCATACGGTATTTTAAGTAATACGACTTCGTTAAAACGAAGTCGTATTACTTAATTATCAAATATTTTAAATAAGAATGTACCAACTTTACTGAATGTGTTATTTTTATAATGTTCAATCGGCAATAGCTAGTGATTTTTATAGTTAAAATATTGTCTATAATAATTTTCACAGATAATTATACTAGCTTCTAAATCCCACTAGTCAACTCTCATACCCAACAATGTTGCCGTTTGTTGTCCCTTAATTTCATGATTTTCAAGTGTGAACTAGATACATTTATTTTTACGGTTTATATTTTAAAGTTTGATTGTTATTTAGTTTATTTTGTTAGAACGTTCTTAATAGTAATCAGAATACTAGATAAAGTAAGGATAAGTGAAATTAATACCAATTTTTGTCCGTTTTAGTGTAAGTTGTTTGTTGTTGTTATTCTGTTACAGTCCAATATTTACTAGAGATTTAAAATTTGTTTTTTAGATTTATAATTTGTTTTTTAGATTTATAATTTGTTTAAAAATTAAATTCATATATTTATATTTAATATGATACTTTAAAAAAAATTGATAAATTGCATTTTATTCAGGGTGAACGTTAATCAAACCATCTAGAAAGATTTGTATCTACTATTTTTGAATTCAAATTATTATATTTTAATAAAATATATCTATAAGATATATTAACAAAAATTACTTTTGATAAGGTATTATTTGATTTACATTTAACTGAATTTTATTCAAAGCGAACATTAATCAACCCATCTAGAAATGAAAATCTCAAAGATTGCAAAAAAACTGATGAATTATTAGTGTGAAAATTCGTTAATACCAACTTATGTAATAATCTCTCTTTGAAATTCTTAGAACTTGTTGTAGAGAACTCGTTAAAATGGGACTTGCACATCGAAGCTTTATCGAAGTGCTGCCTGTTTTGCGCTAAGATCAGTTTCTAAGGAACTTAACTTATCAACCTCCTGAATAGTCTATTATGCCCTTTTTGAGTCGCATGTTCGTTATGCCCTTCCATTCTGGGGTACTTGCTACGCGACAACATTTGATCCTATTTTCAAATTTCAAAAGAGAGTAGTTCGATATTTATTGGGACTGAACAGTAGAACTCACTGCCAGAATTTATTTAAAAATTTCAAAATACTGACTCTTCCTTCTTTATTCATTTTTGAATCCGTTTGCTTAATCCTCAAGCACATATCTGCTACTCCCGAAAAACCATCTCACAACTATCCACTTAGGAATGCGGAGCACGATCTTTATCCCAACCCCAACCTCAGAACTAGTTAAAGGCTCAATACTGTACAACTCCAAAAAAATATACAATCATCTGCCTTTGAATATCAAGTCGCTTTCATTCTTTCCCGCATTTCGCAAAGCTCTGAAATCATACTTACTGGAGAGAGCCCTATATGCGGTAAACGACTTTTTTGTTGATGGTTTAACAGTGGTTAAAAGTCTAGTATTTAAAAAAAAGACTTACTTATTCTGAACGTTATTATTCTGAACCATTTTAGAACGTATGGGGTATAAACACCAATAAACACATTGAAATGGTGCAAAAAACTATTGTTGCTAGTGCCGGACTTTATAAGGACTGTTACAAAATAAAGAGAGTCTCTGTTCTGTTAGAGCATCAGAACGAAGAGAATGCATTAAGTTAGGATAATAGT